GTGTGTGTGTGTGTGTGTGTGTGTGCACGCGCGCGCACACACACACACATGTGGCCTTGCTGCACGGCTGTCACCAGAAGGTGCTCTGTCTTTCTTGTTTGGAGGCAGCAGCACTGGGTCTGCCCCATCACACAGGATGGGATTTGAGAGGAACAAGGACAGTTTTCTCAGGATTGTAAGAGTTTCCAAGGGCGGCCTACGCATGATAATTCACTTTCTAAAAACAACCTGTGCAGCTCGCGTGCCTCTGACGCTGCTTCTGTGCTCAGACCTGGCTCCTGCTGTCTGCAGCTGAGACGAGCACCTCCCTTGACACGCGGTGCCCTCAGCCTCGGCCCCTTCTTCCTTGTGGTCAGCTCTGGGGAGGTTGGGGTCAGGTCCCCCCACCCCTTGCGAGTGGCAGTGTCCTGCGGCTGTGCTGGGGCCCCAGGAACGGCTTGCCTTGGATTGTGAGTCACTCTCCCTTATTAAGCGTTAAAGTATAGTTGATTTACAATATTGTGTTAGTTTCAGATGTATAGCATAGTCTTTCAGTTTTTTGTTTGTTTGTCTTTGCAGATTATATTCCATATAGGTTCTTACAAGACTGTGGGTTTAATTCCCCTTGCTATATAGTAAATCCTTGTTGTCTACCTATTTTTTGTATAGTATGTAACAAATTTACAGTTATTAAAGGGAAAGGGGAACTGCGGAAGGGACAGATGAGGAGTATGGGATACAAAGTAACTGTCCTTTCTGAGCTTGGGTTTAGGTCAGGTGCAGATCAGGGCATTCTTTCCTCAGACTTTGTATTCTTATACTTTTCAAGCTGAGCTCACTGCCAAGGTGATTTCTGTCTTCTTTGTCAGTGGCAGAGTGTTCTGTGGCTCTGTGAACAGACTGCAGGCCGGGATGGCTCCCCACCCTTCCACTCAGTCTGTTCCTCTCCTTGTGCCCCAGTCCCCTCCAGGTGGGGGCATCTGGTCCCTTCCTCTGGCTTTCTGCTCCTGGCTCAGCTTTTCTCCCTTCCTCTCCCCTCCCCCTCCTGGTCCTGGCACCACTGTAACTGGGAAGGTGGCTGATTGTTTTTTGTATTAGGTCTTTTGGTTGTAATAATTTCCCTTCTCACAAAAATTCCAGTTATTTGAATTTTCCAACTGTTCGGGCTCTGGCTAAGTGGGGCTTAATTTCACCTGAGGATCTGAAAACTTGATGCTTATCGACTATACTGTTGAAGATGCTGAGGAAGGGAGATATTTTGATAAGTCAGTGGATGCAAAATATTATGCTTTCAAAATGACTCTTCCTTCTGGTCCTTCGAGGCTGAAGCATCCTGCCCACATTGCATTCTGCCCTGGGCTTCATTCTCTGTGACTAGCCTTGTGGGCTGAAGTCACTTCCTGATCTGTCTCCCCTCTCTTTATCTGTATCATTCATCTTAGCTTTTACTGCTTTGTTAAAGGCAAAAGTAATGCACAGAGTGTAACTCTAAAATGTTTGGAAGCTATGCAGTATTATATTGTAAACCTGTATAAATTCTTAACAAGGTTAGTGGTTTGGAAGGATTTTCGGGAGAACTCCATCTAAAAGGTAGTAAATTCCTTAAAATAACTGAACTTCTGCTTATAACAAGGTCATTATTTGGCAGCATTCATGTTTTTAAAGCTTTCCAGAACTTGGAGGAGGAAATTATTCTGAGACAATGTAGTGATTGAAAAATAAAACTAATAAATTAAAATTTTCATTGTTTGCCAATGATCGATTTCCTTTCTTCCAACGTTTTACCCCACATTCTGAATAAATTAAACCATGTGAAGAACTAGAAGATTAGCTTTACTTTTTTTTCGGGTTGAAATTGGTTTTGCAGAAGTGGAAATTTGGCAGCAAGTATGGAAACTAGCAAATCAGTTTACAGTGTTCTCTGCTTTCTTTAATGAAACCTGAAGGAATGAGGAAAGACTCTATGGTGTCAAACAAGAAGAAGACTAAATTGTGTATGTTTTCTGAAATTTTATTTTTACTCTTAATTATTCAGTAGCATGTAGAACAATATGTCCAGACTCTAGTTGGCTAGTAGTTGCCTCCCAATGTGTAGAATTTCAACTTCAGTAGTTATTTTTTGCTGATTTCATGGAGATGTTGGGAAATATTTTCTAAGAATAGTCTAAAATGAAGAGGAATGTGGTAATTTAAGAAAAAACTGTGACCTAATGGCATATAAGCAGTTGGCTGATGTCCAACCAAGACATTGACCTCTAATGAACTTGACCTCTAATGAGGTGGTGGAACCATGGATGTATTTTCAGTTAAAATGACTAATTAACATGGGATTGTTGACAGCATCTGTATTTCTCTCACATGAAGTAGGGCAGATGGATGTTTCTTTGAACAATGGTTTCCTCATCAATATACATTTTCCAGCCTGCTGCAGCTCTCGTGAGCGCATCTGATGGAACATGGCTTGCGTATAGTATATCTGAGTTGCAGTGTCAGATAAACAACATGTTTTATTGACTTTTAAATAACATGTCTCTCTCCATCCTTGGACAGTTTATAGGTTTCTACACCGGGCCTGGTCCTGCCTTTAAGTTGATCTCCCTGTGTTCTTTCACTCCCTCACTTGGGTGCTGACCTCCCCTTTGCCCAGGTGGCCCTTCCATTACCCCAGTGGTGGCTCCTGTCACCTGAAGCCAACGTGAACATGCTGCAGTGTTACCTAAATACCTGCTGTCAAGAAAGTGCTTTCTGCTGAGGGGTCTGCTGATAGACTTAAATGTTGAGAATTCCATGAGGCATAGTCAAGACTAAAATGATCTTGAATTTAGTTTGCTTCTTCATGCTGGTTTGGACACCTTTAGGATTTCCTGTATCTCTGGTTGCTATGGCAGAGGCTCAGCATCTGTGTGAATAAAGGTGGAGAGAAGCCCACAGGACGATGGCTCCCAGGCCCCCACTACTTAAGTCTACTGATGGAGACTGTGGCCACCACTGAGGGTGGAAGAGTCTGGTTTTGCCTCTTCCCATGGCTTCAGCATCTGGCACAGGTCCCAAGTGTTGGAGTCTGGAAGCCCATGTGGAATGAAGGCTCCTCCTTCCACTTGAGTCAAAGCCAGTCACTGTGAATGTGCAGAAGCCCTGGGCCCACCACCTCTCTGACCTTGTTTCTGGGACCCTTGCCCATGTTCACTGTGTCCAGCACCTGTCCTTGTTCCGGAACCTACCCCAAGAAACTCCTGTAAAATCCTGGCCTCCTTCCAGCCTCAGGGGGATGCGCCGGCTCACCCTGTCTGCTGGCACAGGTGCCTCCATGGCACCTGTGGGCTGGATGCTGGTCCAGGGGTCAGGGGTTCGGGTGGGCTTGGATGCTCTTGGGTTGCTGCCTCCTGCCTCCAGTCTCTTCCCAGTGTTGAGTGTTCACTTCCTCCCAGGACCAGGCACTTGGCTAGTAGGAATAGCTCTCTACCAAGAACTGGGTCTCTATTGGATGTTAACTATTAATATAGGTTGGTAAAAAACTGAGGACAGTTTTCATCTTTGGCTTCTGAAAACCGGTCTTGACATTGACGGGCTTGCTCGTGTCTGTCCTGCTTCCCCTGTTACATTTTGGGTTTTCAGAGAACTAACAACCTAGGTCCTCCTTATTTTCTGAGAGTACATGGCAGGAAGTTTGGGATGTTATAACGGGTATTCAAAATGCCACTGCTTCTCCAGCCTGAGTTGAACCTGCTGTGCGCTTGCCCGCCCTCCCCCAGCCTTTGAGGGTCAGGACTTTGGCACCCACACGGCCCATAGCATCCGCATTTGAATGTGAGTGAGGCTGCTGCATGGAGGTCACTAGATGAGAGGCCCTTCCAGGAGGCCTCATACACCGACAGGGAGGCTCTGAGGCAGAGAAGGGCCTTGATGTCCTGCAGTCCTCATCATGCTTGGGGATCTTTTCTGGAGGCATCGGGCTTTGCCTTTTTTTCTTCCCTTGAGTTTGGAAATCAAGGTGCTGAGGCTGGGGTGCCAACCCATGAACTGCCCCCAGGAACAAGGGGACTGATGGATGAAGGGCCAAAGGCAGGAAGATGAACGGTTTGGGTGGAAACAGGACTCAGACCCTCCTCCTTTCAATTTCTTGTGCTGTGACCTCTACTCCAGCACACTTTGTGACCTTAAAGATCTGTAAAGTGAAAGTTGGAAAAAGTCTGCATTTGAGGGGGTCCGCTGCTCAAAGTCATTGTTCAAGGGTCGGGTCAGTTGTAGCAGTAAACTCCCCACCCTGGACCAGAACACCACTTAAAGAAAGCCGGTGTCTTCTTTGACGTTTCCTTAAGGTGCTTTTACTAGTTTTGCCGAAAACTCGTGTTCTCAGTTCAGTCCTCAGTTTGGTTCGACTCTTTGCCACCCAATGGACTGTAATATGCTAGGCTTCCCTGTCCATCACCAGTTCCTGGAGCTTGCTCAAACTCAAGTCCATCAAGTCGGTGATGCCATCCAACCATCTCATCCTCTGTCCCCTTCTCCTTCTGCCTTCAGTTTTTCCCAGCATCAGGGTCTTTTCTAATGAGTCGGGTCTTTGCATCAGGAGGCCAAAGGATTGGAGTTTCAGCTTCAGCATCAGTCCTTCCAATGAATATTCAGGACTAATTTCCTTTAGAATTGACTGGTTTGATCTTGCAATCCAAGGGACTCTGAGTCTTCTCCAGCTCCACAGTTCAAAAGCATCCATTATTCTGCGCTTAGCTTTCTTTATAATCCAACTGTTACATCCATACACGACTACTGGAAATACCATAACTTTCACTATAGGAACCTTTGTCGATAATACCTCTGCTTTTTAATAGACTGTCTAGGTTTGTGTTTTCCTGCTAGATTTGAAACATTACATCTCTGTCTAGGCCCCGCAAGCTTCCATCTTAATTAATGGTCTTTAAGCCTTGGCTGCACGTAAGCAAATACGTGCGCACCTACGTGTGCGTCATATGCATGCGCGCGCCCTTGTGTGCGTTCGTGCTTTCCTGAGTGCCTGCGTACGTACTGTGTGCACGTCTCAGAAGCTCAGCCCGGCCGCCACGTTGGCTGTTGGCGCCACCTCGCAGTACAGCGGTGCCCCAGCGGCTCTTTGGCCTGGTTCCCTCACAGGGGGTTCTGGCCTGTGTAAAGTTGAACGATGGAGCTTCTGAATGTTGCGGCCCGAGGCAGTCGGGCCAGAGCAGAGCGGAAAACCGTCCGGTTTCTTGTCAGGCCATAGGCCGTTCACTTGGCGAGGCCCGACCTTCCTCAGGAGTTGGTGTTGGCCGTGGGCCTGGCCTGTGCAGGGGCCACCTGGGCTAGACTTGTCCGTGGTGGCAGTGGGCGGTGAGTGGCATCACCTCGGGCCGTTTGCGCTGGAACAGCTCAGCCCCGGGGAGAAGGCGACCATCGCTGGGTCCTGGCACCGGAAACCTGGCCTGTGTCAGTTCGTCCAGCTGCGCGTGGGCTCCTCTGCGGCCCGAGCAGTTGGGATAGGAGTGGTCTTCTGCTTCCCTAGTCCCTCCGTAACGAGCCCGCAGCTACTGCTGATGGCTGAAACCCTGCCCACGCACGGGGGTCATCGTGTTCTCAGGGGCCCGTGTTCCAGAGGACCGGCTGCCAGGCCTCATACCAGCCTCAGTCTTCCATTACGTTAAAGAGAATTCACCGAAGTTGTGCAAGTTAAGAATGGCTGTGGCTCTGCGTTCGCCGGTTGCCCAGTGGTTAAGAATTCATCTTCCAACGCAGAGGATGCCTGTTCAATCCCTAGTGAGGGGGTACGAAGATCCCATATGCGCGAGGGCATCTAATTACGTGTGCCACAATGAATGGTAGCCGCGCACAGCAGTGAAGATCCCACGAGCTGCAGCTAATGCCTGACCCAGCCAAACATATTAAAAAGGACATGGCCCGTTCCTCGGTTTCTCCCATGACCTGAATCTTGTGCCCTTCTGTGCACCCTTCATGTACGAGGGGCCCCCGGAGGCCTGCTCCTCTGCAGGGCTGCCTAAGCCCTGCTTTCCACCGGCTCCTCACGCCCCCAGCCGCAGCCTCTGATTGCTAGAAATCAGAGGTCAGGAGGTGGACCCATCCTCAGGTGCTCAGCATTGGGGGTAGTTCAGGAGGACCGCTGCCAGACCTTGTGTGAGCACCTGTGCTTATTAATTCTCTTGAGTGAACCACCCCTCCCGAGGCTTAGTTTCCTGGGTTGGGGCATGTTATTCATTCTCAGCCTTCTTTCTCCAAAGCATTGAGCTATGTTTGGAGCTGTGCTTTGTGGGAAGAAGGAAAAGACCTGCACTTACAGAGCTCTGGGTGGAGGGAGCTGGGTGTGTTCTGTCCTCTGGGCCTGGTACTTCCTCTGCCTGAGGGGGGAGGATGGCTCGGTAACCCCTCGAGTTCCCTGCTGTGGGTCACTGGCTATTTTCACATGTAGAAATAGGCCCAAGAGAGCTAGTTATGCTGAGAAGTGATGAGTTTATTGAAATTCTCTGCCTTGTTTGTCATGGAACTGGTGTTTTGAGTTTTTCTTGGCTTTAGTGTGCGCAGTCTGCTGCCTAAGAGGTTGAGCACCAGGGATAAATCTTGGAAATAATGTTCAGATTTATTGAGTGGTTTATGAGGGAGTAAGAATATATAATAAGATCCTGAATATAGATTTCGGAAGAGTATGGTGTGTTTCTATGATGAAAGAAGTTTTAATTTTGTACTTTCTTTAGTAATTTAACTGACTTGAATGTTTTAAAATCTCTCCTTTTTATACTAGTCCTTTCAAAATGTAAAATAGATACAACTTGAGTAACAATATTCTTTGTAATAAAAAAAGTAATTTCAATCTCAAGGATAGCAGAAACTGGATGATTTATGCATTCAACTTTTAAACAGCTTAATGTCTTGCTTAAAAATTACAAATCATCGTTAAAATGATGATCTTAAAATCAGTTAAAAAATGATCTTAAAGAATCTTTGAAGTAGGTTGTCATGAAGTTGACAGTAGTGTTTTGTTTCAGATTTAGAGTCAGGGCATTTGACCTACACAGATTTTTCCATTTTGGTTGGGAATGAATACGTATACAAATGGAAAGTTAAGAATGATTCTGACTTTGGAAATTTTCTTAGGGATTTTTTTTTTGTTTGTTTAACATTCAGCTAATAGCTCCATGCCCAAGAATTGGCAAGGATATTTGGCAAAAGTGGTAACTATGGAGCAGAACTACTAAGCAGTGACTCAGGTTCACAGGTAAAATGACATAACCAGTCCCAAAGAAACTGTCCATTCATCGTTTGGAGATAAGACAAGATGCTCAGTGTCTTCCACCTATTTTGAAATTAATTTTGAGGCTCTGAATTCTGCTTTGAAGGATTGCACAAATTCTATTGCTTTGGCCTTATTGTAGTAACCGGAGATTGACAAATCATAACCCTTTTAATTTGGCTTACAGTTAGTCCCCTATATAAAAGTGAGTTTCATTCTGAGAGCATACTCATAAGTCTCATTTTTTTGTAAGTCCAATGAAGTTAGCCTAGATCCCCATCAATTAGCTATATAGAACTGTACTGTAATAGGTTTACAATACTTTTCACACAAGTAATATACAAAAAACAAGCACAAAAATAAAACATTTTAAATCTTACGGTTTGGTACCTTGAAGAGTACAGTAGTACATTACAACAGCTAGCATACAGAGGCTGGCATCGAGTGAAAGAGCAACAAGAGTTACTGGCTGGAGGGAGATGGTAGAGATGAAGGATCATTGGCAATGGGAGATGGAGGGCAAGCTGCAGTTTCACACGTGATGTTGCTGGAATGCGAACTTGAAGGTTTTTATGTAGGGGACTTAACTGTATTTTTAAAAAATGTTAAGGGCCTCCCATGTGCTACATATTCTTCACAAGCCTGATGATACCAGGGTGATGGTGATTTGCATTCTTGCCCACAAAAAGCTCATACTCAAATAGGAGAAATGAGTTTTTGTTTATGGACGGATGAGGCAGGTATGGAGAGCTGTTTTGATGTGGTAGTGTGTGCATTTAACATATGCATGTATTATAGACTCCTATGTTTAATTAGCAAATTAAATATATTTACTGTTGCTGCAAAACAAATGACTGTAAACTTAATAGCTTAAACTGACACCCGCATATTATTTCATGATTTCCATTGGTTGGGAGTCTGGGAATGGCTTAGCTGGTTTTCTACTAAGGATCTCAGAGGTTACAAACAAACTTCAGCCCAGCTGTGTTCTCTTCTGGAGGTGTGAGTGGGGCAAGAATCCACTTCTAAGCTCATTTAAGTGACCAGGATTCGATTCTTTGTAGCTGTAGGTCTGATGTTCCTGTTTTTTCACTGGTTGTCAGCTGGCGACTGTCCTCAGTGCCTAGAGGCCCCTGTGGTTCCTTGCTGTGTGGCCCCCTCACAGGCCCTTCAGAGATGATTGCGCACTTCTTGAGAGCTGCAAAGGGAGTCCCTCATTTTCTATTAATAGTAGGCTGACATGGAGTCTTAAATAGTGAAACCAGATCAAGGGAATGACATCTCATTGCTTTTGTCATGTTCTGTTGGTTAGAAGCAAGTCACAGATTCTTCCAACACTTATGAGGAGGGAATTATGCAAAGGTGTGACCTCACTGGCAGTCACCTTAGAATTCTATCCACCGTATACATTTCTGGTTATTCCATTGATTTGTGCTCCCAGGAAATCAGAATTTGAATCCCAGGAAGACTGACAGGAGCAGTTTCAGTTGAAGAATAAAACCATCATCAGGAAAGTCAGAAGTTGGTTGTTCTCTTCTCTCAGTGAGTAGAAGGCAGGAGGGAATGTCTGTAGGTTCACAGTATTGGTAGGAAGGAGTTACATAAAAATAGAGGGGTATTTGGCTTGTGTGTTCAGGGTGAATGGCCACAGGAATCTCACAGGGTCCTTTGGCTGGATACAGAAATTTTTTATTTGAATGTCTTAGTCTTGACTGATCACTCAGGAGTGACATATGGCAGGAACATGCTTCAGGGGGCAGGTCTCCTGCTGCAGCACACAAGCTAGACAGATGGTGGCTTATTCACCCTTGGACAGGAATGTAATCCCACATGTTGGCAGGCTGGGTGCTGAGAGGTGCCTGTGCCATTTGAGACAGAGCTGACTGAGTTGACCTGGAACTGCTTTGTCAGGCGTTAGGTAGTCACCTGATGTGACCTGGAATGGTGTGAAGGACAGTGTGCTCATCAAACTGGGAGGAGGATGCTGGTGACAGATCGTGTGAACTGAAACTAGACAGCCAGCAGTCTGTCTTACCAGCAGGGTGGAGGGCAGAGGTGAAGACAGCCTTGCAGACACAGATCTTGGAAGTAAGCACTTTAGCTAGGTCTAAGCATGGGTGGTCATTGTTGCTTCCACAAAATTAGACGTGTTTCAGGGGAGGAAAAACATGCAATCTCTTTCCTTTACAGTTAAGGATCAGTGATCAGTGTGGACGACAGATACTTTGGGTTCATAAGCTACAGCCATATTTAGGATCTCTGCAGTTAAAACCTAGTCCAATAAAGATGTTGTCCATTATATATGTTTGCCACCCGTCATTGAAGAAAAGGCCTGTGACTTTGAAGAAACAAGTCTGTGTCCTTTGATTGGAGACTGAGAACCTGGTGGCCCTGTGGCTGCTGAAGAGCTGTTTGGGGGAGTTTATCCCTAGTTCACGCCGTGTACCCCAGATTGTATGCTGGGGGCTTCTCTCTTCCTTCTATTATTTGATGCTAGTTTTATTCATTTTGGTGTTTGTGCCTTTTATTGTGACAGTCCTCTAGTATTTTTTAAAATATATTTAAAAAAATAATAATTTTATTTACTTCTGGCTGTGCTGGGTCTTTGTTGCTGCACAGGCTTTTCTCTAGTTTCAGCGAGCAGGGCCTGTTCTCGAGTTGCATTGCACAGGCTTCTCATTGAGGGGGTTTCTCTTGTTGTGGAGCATGGGCTCTAGGGTGCACGGGCTTCAGTAGTTGTGGCATGTGGGTCAGTAGTTGTGGCTCCCAGGCTTTAGAGCACGGGCTCAATAGTTGTGGCGGGTGCATGGCCTTAGTTGGTCCGTGGCACATGGGATCTTCCTGGGTCAGGGATTGAACCCATGTCTCCTGCATTGGCAGGCGGATTCTTTACCAGTTAGTCCCAGGGAAGCTCCTAAATGGGCATCTTTTAAAAAAAATTTATTTGACTGCCTTGAGTCTCAGTTGTGGCACGTGGGATCTTGGTTGCAGTGCGTAGACTCTCTAGTTGTGGCAGGCAGGCTCCAGAGTATGGGAGCTTAGTAGTTGCATTGTGCAGGCTTAGTTGCTCTGCAGCATGTGGGACCTTAGTTCCCCGACCAGAGATTAAGCCCGTGTCCCCTGCATTGAATGGCAGCTTCTTAACCACTGGACCACCAGGGAAGTCCTCTCTAATATTTTCTGGAATTTGGGGAAGGGAATGGTTCACTAAGGGAAGCCAAGAAATGTTTCACTGGAATTCTTTATTTTTCCTTTCAGCAGTTCAAGCTCCATGTCGGTAACATCAAAGTGCTCTCTCCTCATTGGACCGTTTTCAGGAACTGACATCAATTTTCATATAGCTTATGCTTAAAAAGGTGAGTAGAGCTTGAGACTCTTCTCTTTGATAATGTTTGTGAAGCAGAGCTTGCTACACCACTGACTGTTATGAGATGGTGTCCCTCTCAAGAATGTGGTCCCAACTCCGAGGTACAAAAACTATTAATATCTTCCCAGTGAAACCGGGATTGAAGGAAAGTTGCATGGTATCAGATTAAATGGGACTTTTTCTTTTTTAATACCCAAGTATTACCAAGTATTATTCATAGTGGGCTGTGAATGTATATAGAATATTTCTAGATTTACTAGAATAGCTGAAGAAAAATAATAATCTTGCTATTCAATTTGTCTTTATTGTTCCACCTGGGCATTTAATACCCAGGTGTTTAAAAACATTTAAGATTGGTGAGAAGTGGGATTTTTTTCTTTCTCATTCTGAATTCTTTGTTTTGCTTGGTTTCCAACTTTGTAAAATGGAAATAATATTTGGATTGCCATGGGACGTGAGGAGCCACCGTGCTTCCTATGACACCTGGCATGTAGTGCACTCAGAACGGCTACTGTAGCAGCCAGTGGGCAGGTTTTCCTTTCTCTGTGTTGATGTGATCTGTACCGTAAGGGGATGTTGGCCTCCTAATCTGCTGTGTTTGTTCCTGTCTTACTTCTTAAAGGCGGGGTATGAGTGGCCTGACCTTGGTGTATCTGGAAGTAGGAGCTTAGATGCCTCCTCAGAGCCAGCCCTCATGGGGGACAGTCAGTGAAGGTACCTGGGAGAGGGGACTGTGGTGTCAGGAGCAGCCTACCTGCCTCAGTCTGCCTCTTCACCTTTGTGTGCCTCTGTTTCATCAACCTTAAGTATTTTAATGATTCATCTTCTCCCTAGTTCCCAAGCTGTGGAGAATTTCAAATGAAGAAATATGAGACTCTTAGGAAAGTAAAAAACTTCTATAAAACATAAGATTTTTTTCCCCCTAAATTTTTATGTGCCAGGCATGACTCATTGTTTATGCCATATTCCTTACTAGAATGTAAGCTTTATAAGGGCAAGAATTTCCCTCCCTCCCACTTGTTTTTTCCTCCAGGACTGAAAGTGGTGCCCGCTAGCTTGGAGTAGTTCAGTGAGCCTTTTGTCAGATGGAATGATTGATAGGCTCTCAGAGCTCATGCAAGCCTTCTTATTCATGGTGGTTGTTGGAAGTAGATGAGGCAGTTGGAGAATCGGGAAGGATTTAATGTGCTTCCTTACTGAGGCACACAGACCCTTCGATTTACATGGACTTTTCACAAGTTGGAAGCTTCCTGAAATTGAAGGTGCTCAGAAGCATGCTGTACTTAACAGACACTCTGAGTCAGTGTGGCTTGCAGTTCCTATGTAGTTCTTTGCTGAGTGGGTTTCACCATCAGGGATCTGCAAACATGGAGCCCATTTGGTAGTCTCTCCCAGGGCGGGGTACGCTTCCATAGGGGCACTCAGGCCAAGGGCCTTGCGGGTGGTCAGTCACCGATGGAGCACTTCTTGTTCCTGAAGTTCTCATTACCTGCCAGGGCAGTGTGATGTTGGCAAATCCCTTACCTTCCCTGACACGGGGAGTGTTGCTGAGCTGCACTGTTTTTCTTCTGCAGTTTGGCACACTGACCACCAGCTTGAGGTGGAACGTCGTAGCTCGTTTCCAACAGAGCCGTAGAGAGTGTGGGCACAGTGTGGTTTCTCATTGTCATCTCAGATGTAGACCTCTTTGACTTCACCCACCAAAACCTGGAACTGTTTTTAAATAGAATTTTGCTGGGTAACTGAACACACCACTGGACTGATTCCCTAAGGAGTGTGATTCTGTGATTGATTTACAGAATTTTGACAGAAGTAGAAATAATTCTTGCAAAGTACATAAGTACCCAGTTCTCTCCCATATATGGAGTTACCTCATTCTGTCAGCTATTTTAAGCAACTTTCAGAATTGGTAATGGAAAACTTTTTCTTGACTACATTACTGTATATGGATTTTAATTAAAAGTAAAGCTGTATTGCTCCTTCTGACTATGACAGGAGTTAAGAGCAGATTCTCATCTGCAGAACTGCATGTTGCCTGGTGCAGTGTGGCAGCAGGTTGGTGCAGTGCAGGTCATTTTTAGGCACATACTTGGATTCTGAGGTGTTGTAAGAGCTTTTATCCCTAAGATAGGTTCTCACAGCTGACTGTTCTGGAGTTTATTCTTTCTCTGTCACTTGTAAAATTCTGTCCCTTGAAGCTCACAGCTGGACTGGGACACATTCATGCATGCTGATGGATGGACTGGTGGCATTACCACAGTGCTCTGTCTGCTGGGCTGGGAAGGCCCAGGGAGGTCTGGGCTTTTCATTAACTACAACTTTGATTAACTACAGCTTGTTTTACTGTACAGTGCAATTTTTGGACTTGGTTTTAGAATCAGGTCGAGCTCCCATGTCTGGGTTGTTATTAAACGTGTTTTAAAATTTAGACCACTTTGATAAATCTGAACAGAGGTGCCTCTTTGCCATATCACGTCTATAAGGTATAGTTGGAAACACGACCTTTGGCCCAAATTCTGTGCTTGCTGCTTTCACTCACTTTGTTACTCTGGGAAACCCTAACCTCCTCTGGGTCTAAGGTCTTCTCATCTTTATGTAGGATATTGTTTTGTGGAATTACTGTGAAGATGCTTAATTCAGCATTCAGTGCATAGTCAGAGCTCGATGAAACTTCAGCTCTTGTTTTTCATCCAAATGCTAGCTCTTACCCATGGACCATGGCTGTCTGGGTCAGAGGAAGACAGTGGAGGTGGATCTTCCCATTCGATTTCAGGAGTAAGAGGTGTGCTGAAGAGTTCCATGAGGTGTCTTGCTGGGGTCAGGAGGGTGAAGTGCTGAAGCCCTGGCTGAGGACAGAGCTGCTGGGATGGGGGTGAACAGGTCATGAATTGCAGCTTCTTGTACCTTCTCCTGTCCTCTTCATGAGATGTAGACATGGTCAGCTTTCAGCACTGAGAAGAATGTGAAGTGGATGATGAGGACCAGGGAGCCAAGTGGAAGTTCCAGTGTAAGACGTGTGTTCCCAGTGGGGAGGTGCTCCAGCAGTCAGAACATGACTGTAGATACAGGTGATGTAGCCTTACCTGAGCTTCTGTTTTTGTGTTACATTTAAACTTTTAGGCTACATCAGAGAAGATCAGTAGTGTTGGGAGAAGCATCGCCTCCGAGCACAGGTCTCTGCTGTTCACACTGTCTGAAGGAATGCTTACTTTCTCCAGATGTGTTTTTGCCAGTGTCCAGTAAAACAGATTAAACTGTGGAAGGTTTATGCTGCGGGTTCCCTAATTTGAAGGAGGATTTAAACTCTGCCTCACAGTTAGGTTAGGGTCATTTGGAAGCTGCACCAAGATGTCCTGGCACTGTGAGAAGCCAGGCAGTGTTGGTCGTCAGGTTGGGGTCATTCGGTGCCTCTCTGTCCTTCTAGGTTGTCATCAGGGGAGGTGACACCAAGATTCCCAGTCGGGGGCGGGTGTCCTGGGACAGATCCCAGGTAGACTAGGTCCAGGGTCCCTCTTGGCTTGTGAGAGTTTCCTGGTTCTCCAGGTCTCATTCAGGCTCTCCCACCTTCTGTGTTCTTCCTTCCTCCCTCCCCGCCGCCCGCCAAGCCATGTGTGCAGCATCAGGGGACTCAGATTTGAGTCCCATCTCACTGCTTTCCCCTCATTCTTCCACTCTAAGGTGAAGAGTGGCATGGAGAAAAGCTACTAGAGTTCATCAAGGGCATCAGGGATGCTTTACGGTAAGGAGGAAGACCCAGCAAGGCAAAGGGGAAGGCCAGCAGGCAGACACCACTTCTAGAAACTGGGAGGAGAGTCCTGTTGCTTTGGCCATCTCTGTCTGTGACCTGGGAAATTGAGCATTTGCTCTGCCTGGGCACTGGGTGCTGTCCTTGTGTTGTTAAACTAGACTATTTTCTCATCAAGTAGACATTCAGAGACACTTAGAAAAACACCTTTATGTTTCTTGTTAAATCAAAACACACAACAACTTCGTCAGTCGATGCCTCGCACAGTGTCAAACTGCTAAAAAGCTAGCAAATGTTACACCTAAAATTTTTGTGGGGGAGGTAAAGGTGGGGGGTGTGGAGGAGAGTATAAAAATAAATCTTTTAGAGAATCTGGGTTGCTTGGTGGCGTGTGTATTTTTCCATGGTGGAGGAGGTTAGAAATAGCATTACTTTTTATGGGTTTCTCAGCAGCAGCTCAAAGATTTGGCTTTGTGGGCTTGGTCTGTGTGTGTGGGTGAGGCGGCTCCAGCAGCCTGCAGGGTAGAGGCAGTGCCTGTCTGTCTGCACCCCCCACCAACCCGCCTGCCCGCCCCCCCTCCCACCTCCCCCTGCAGCTATCACCCGGATGAACAGTGCTCATGTGTGAATGTGATCTCCAAGGTTAGACTATTGTGGGGACGTGCCTGTGGCAGCAGATGCCGCTGGAGCAGATGGAGCCTCAGCGGTTCCACAGAGTCACACGGGTGCGTGTGTGAGGGTAGGTGCCAGGCGTGGGTGCTGTGATCTGGGAGACATCCTCTGGGGGTGCTGTGTGTCTGCTGGCTGGACCTCCTGGTCCCTGTGAGCTAGCCTCTCCTTTGAGTCTTTTTTTTTTTTTTCTTTTTTTAGGTCCCAGGCTTTCCTTTGAGTCTTAATCTCAGCGGGGTGGGGAGGCCACTCCTTCAGAAGGGGCCCTCAGGGATTTTTGAAATTTGTTAGTTATGTAATTCTTACAGATGGAGGTGGGTCTCCCAGTGTTTCTCAGGTTCAATGCAGGAAGGAAATGGAAAGAGGTAGCCGCTGGGACACAGATTTTTAACTCCAGGGGACCCAGGAATTTGAGTTCTTTGAAATTGTGCCTGTTACTGTAGAGAAGGCCAGGGCTTTGATGGGATTCTCAGTAAGATTTTGATCTCCGTAAAGGTGAGGTAAAGTTCAGTTAACTTGGGAAAGTCATTTTGGAAACGTAGTGAGTGTGGGGAGAGGAGGTGTTGGCAGGATGT